TCAACTATTTTCAATTTTAAATTAAACAATACGGCGCACCTTAGCCGGTAATGCTAGGTGAAGCTAAATCTATACAATGTTAACAAACTAGAGTCCATCGTCCAAGGAATTGGTTCAGCGGTTCGACTCGATCAGGCCACAGGGCGTCAGTTCCAAATCCGCTCGACAGGACGGAATCCTGCTCGAAGGAACAAGAATATGGTAGGGCCAGTTGCCCGATTCTAATCCGGCTCGTAAGAACCAGAAAATGGTGGTGCGCTGATGACCACAAATGTTTTCGGCGATTGGGGTCTCGGGTTTGATTCCTGGGTCAAGCCTTTTGCTTATTGTGCTTGATCAATTCACTGGACTGTATGTGCGGGTTCTTGCAACCAAAACAAGATGGCCGACGTGGCACGCGGCAGCCTTGGACGATGCACTCGCTATTCCAAAATCTATTATTTTGCCAGTGTCTCGAAGGAGTTTCTAATTGAACCGCTAAGGGAGAGAAATGTGACAAGGAAATAAAATAGCTCAAGTCAAATTAAAAGGAAGCACTTACTGGGGTGGGGTTACTTGCGAACTCTTCGACGACGCTCTTGGTCTTGTGGTGCGTTGGAAGAGTACCGGTGCGCGAAGACAGATTGCACCACGCAACGCGGTTACTTCTAGCGGTTCTGTGGCCGACTGCCACATGCCATAGAGGTGCAAAAACAATTAACGGTTCTCTTCGATTACGATGCAAGATGGCATGAGCGGCGGCAGTTCGCGTCAATTTCTGAGTCGACCATTTTTCCCACTTCCATCTCGGCGGGGCGCGCTACTCATTGGCGACCAAAATCGCGCCACATAATTTAGCTTACCCCCTTTCAGTGCATGTGGAATGGAATGCGTAGTAGGACGGAAAGAGATGCTGGCCAACAATAATCAACCGAACAAAATGTGAGAGTACCCGTTTCCTTTTTCCGCGCAACCAGTAATAAAAAAAATATTTAAAGTTGTGTCATCCTTTGGGTTAATAGTCGATAAAATGCAGCATTAAAGTTTTACGAGTACTGTGAAAACAGTTAGACTTTAACTGTTCATGTTTCTATAAACACTCAAAACGAGGATTATTACTTTGCTTCAAATGGGTCTACTATTTGAAGCAAAGTAATAATCCTTTATAAATAATTTTAATCGGTGTTTGTATTTAGATGTAACATATATTTCGCAAGAAAATGTTTTTTATTTGAGCGAATAGAATAAAACCTTTTTTTCTATACACCAAATAAAATTAATAAAAAAGCAACTATTAAAAAGAAAGTGAACCATATAGTTACTTTAAAATAAACGGTACTACATTCGTAAAAAATTGAAGTATATAATTTTGTTGCGAATTCTACTGTGTCTAATATAATGTTACATTGTTTCCATGTATTAAATAATCTAACATATATATTTAGTACGATCGGTCGACGACCTCACCTGCCTTTTAGAAGTCCACAGCTGGACATGTTCACCTAATGATAAATTGCTGTTGCAAAAAATGAGCACAGTGCATTTTCCACCTCTGAGGAATTAGAGTAGCTTACCATAACTTTTGGAATGGAACGTCAATGTATATTTAAAACAAACATAACTCCTCAGTAGCAAAAAAACTGGTGCTTGGAAGTAGAAACTGGTGCTTAGCGGAAAAATAATTGCGAATATAATTTATTTTAAATTAAAATATAGGAGTTCATCGCAAAAACTCGAAGAATGCTTGCTCTGCATCATGCCGTTAATCCTTCCTGATATGGAAGTCCATGCTTAGCTGTGGAATATTCATTAACGGATGATGATAATTATTCGTATAAAGATATTAATAGTTACTTTGCAACCATCTGCTCTCCAAATGAACTTCCCTAGTTTGAAGAGTACCTCCCGCCTTCTCTCAATTGCGTGCACTAATCCCGTCACCACTAATCCCAGCACCACTACTCTCAAGTGTGAATAGTGTAGAATCGTAGTGTATTCTAAGAAAGACACCATCGATGATAATAAGATACTTGTTTCGCCTCTACACGAAGCATATTCAGATGATGTTGACTGAAAGATAGGTAAATACCTGTTGGCTTCCTCATTAGACATGCCGGAAACCTGCGACAAAGTTCATTATGCATTATATTATACATCTTATCAGACAGATTGTATATAAATGTTCTGTTATTGCCTATTGCTTAAAATCTTTATACATAAAAATAAAGAAATCTACAACAACCAAGCCAGGTCGAGCTTCTCAGCTTCTTTAAAATTCTTTAAAATTGTCATTTTATTAACCTCTTAACGCATTTTAAATTTGTTGGAAAGAATTTCCCAATCGCCACAATACAGCAGTCCACAGTAGTTGTAAAATATTTTTAGTTTTAGGTCCTTTTGGGAAATATTAAAATCATTTCAAAAATCAATAAAGGTCCAAAAAATAATATTTTACATGATTTATAACTTATTTGAAGCTAAGTTAATTATAACATTCAGTGGAAATGATTTCTTACACGAATTTTATTAACAAATACACTACGAATTGAATAAAATATCTGGTATTAAAGGAAAGTCAAATGAAATACCTAATTCATTAAAATCCGTAATATTAGTTTTGTTCAATTTTAACGAAAAGTATGAATTTTAATAGTTGACAACTTCACAATTAAAGTTAATAAAACTACACGATTTAGACACGATATATTTAAGTTTTACTGCATTCTGGAATAAACAGAAAGGTGCTATAATGATTTAAAGAGGTTTCATAACATACGAAGGGATTAAATGCAAAACATAGAAGCCGCATATGAAGTTTACTTGCTCGTACTATTTAGCAGTAGTGTCACGGCATTGCATGTTACAATCTAGCGTACACTATAAGATTAAGCTTTGCATGTTTCGGTCGCATCTCACAGTGCGACTGCTAATACACGTTACATTGAGCAAGTACTCGAACTCGAGCTATGAATGCTTAAGTTGATGATAAATTTGTGTTTACTAGATAATATTGTATAGAATATGAGAGTATATATATGAACGATTAATAATTTCAAAAAAACGTTGATTTCTGTTAATTAAGAAAGGAAAAGAATTTTTTTGTTACTAATACGTACAATACTTTATATTAATACAAATTTATTTTACTTATACATTTTATTTATTTAATTCAAAAACTTTTGTGGCTTACAGAAAATCCAACACGCACATAAGGTATAAATTTTACATGCATAAAAATTTTGCATCAAATTATAACAACCAAAATTAATAGTTATTACTCATAAATTAATAATTAAAAATTAATAATCATAAATTAAGCAATTATATAATACTCGCTGTTAATCGCGGCTTCGCCCGCATGGTCACTGGGAAATGAACTATCCATTGCTTTTTGAATTGAAAGACAACTGAGTTTTATAGATTTGTCAGAGATGCAGCCATTAAAAGGAAACTGAGCAAAATTTATTCGTCAGCCTATTTAAATGTTTTGAAACGCAGCGTATAGGAAAGCATGAAAATAGCCTGTTTATTCCAAATGGAAATGGGATGTTTTTTTTAATTAAAAGAAACTGAGCATAATTATCCGTCAGGGATGCAGACTTTTGAAAAGAAACTGAGCTAAATTGATTCGTCAGAGATGCAGTTTTCTGAATTGAAAGGAAACTGAGACAAATAAAAGATCCGTCAGAGATGCAGCCTTTTGAGTTGAAAGGAAACTGAGCTTAATAGGTCCATCAGAGGTGCAGCATTTGGAATTGAAAAGAAAATGAGCTAAATAGGAAATTTTGAACTGAAAGGGAAGATCTGTGGGAATTCTGATTAACTGATTGTGGGAATTTTGGAAAAAAACTAACTGAACACTATTTTAAGACGCTACTGTACACAATGTTATATATTTTTCCATTCGGGGAAAAATGTGCAGATTCTGGGCATTTGACACACGCGAACATGCTACATACAGCTGACCATGAGAGAAGTACGGTTTTTTAAGTTGAACCCCGCTACCTGTAACATTTGCCCTTGCGCTTTTTTAATTGTCATTGCAAAACTGAGCTTAATAGGAAACTTCAACCTTTTGAAAGAAAAGGAAGATCTGTGGGAATTATAGGGATCCGTGGTATAATAACATTTTCACCTTTTCCTACGCCTATCAAAATTGTAGCACCGATTATGTTCTGTCCAAGACGTGTCACACGCAGCCTTGTCACGTCACATAAACGAGGAGCATCTAAATTTCGCATTAGCATGACTGGGACGCCTTATTTTAATTGAAGCTTATGTGAGGGCACACCTGACAACTCTAGAGAATTTAGAAACTCTACGGGATATCGCCCTTTCACATAACCATTTGTCTTCATGCGTGTTGTTCGTTAAATCTGAATAAACGCTCGCAATTAATTCAGAATGACTCTGTACTAAATCAAAAAAATCTCTCGTCAATTTAACGCAGCTCTCAGCATCCGTTTCCAACTGCCCATCGCCAATTTTTAATAGTGTGTCAGCATAGTTTCCAGCATTGATATCATTATACAAATGCACTCTCATGTTCGTAGTTAAACTGAATTTTGTCACCTTGTTCCATAAAATAGACGACTTGAGGTATGCTTTAATTTCCTCTGCAGGTGTGCCCTTTTGAATGACAGGTAAAGTTTGGCGAAAGTCACCAGCCAGTAAAACCACCATTCCTTCCATTACATCGGTATTGCTGCGTAAATCCTGGAGCGTTCGATTTAGTGCTTCTACAGCTTTTTTATGCAACATTGTAATTTCGCCCCACACTAAAAGTTTGCATTGTCGTAACATTATAACTAGTGCACTATTTTTGCTAATGTTGCAGATCGGCGATTCTTCCTGGGCTGGATTTAGAGGGAGTTTTAAAACAGAATGTGCAGTGCGGCCCCCGCTTAGCAGCGTGGCGGCTATACCGGAGGAAGCTACGGCCACAGCAATGTTTTTATCTTTCCGTACTTGCGCTAATAATAAATTTAACAAAAATGCCTTCCCAGTTCCTCCAGGGGCATCTAAAAGAAAAGTGCACCATTTCCAGATTCAATTTGTTCTAATACTTTGTCAAAAACTCGTTTTTGTTCGGGAAACAAGCGGGGTACAAATTCGGCTACTTGCTGCTGCAAAGCTGGTATATCGTAGTTTGTTTCACGTATAATTTCATCACTTAGTTCATTTTCGGTTGTTTGCTGAGGGCTTATCATTCCAAAGTCGCATAATGTTTTGCCTACCATTGCCATTACTTTATCTTCAATTTTTCCAAGTGCTTCATTATAAATGTGTTCATTGCATGTCATGTTCGCGTGTGTCTGCTGTAATCTTCGCAAAATATCTTCCGCCTTGTACTCTTTATATTTGTCCCACAATTCATGTGCATTAAATAGCCCGCAAGATGATATGAGAGTTGCATAAAGATCCCTAATTATGGCTGGTGACTGACACTGCACAGCTTCCTCCATGGTTTCATCCCAATGATTATCGTTTTCTAAAAGATGCAGAGCTTCACATGCTTCTCTATAAGTTGCACATTTTTAAGGTCTTTATATCCTGTAGGACCCCGAACATGGTGCAGCAGCAATCGTAAACAGAAACATTCAAAATTAGTTACATGGACGGTATACACACGACCAAGGGCATCTGATGACTACATCGGGCCAATTTGCAACAGGCGCGCCTTGAATACGGCGTTTCTACCCATTCCTAGATGTGTTCCAAGTATAATAGCGGGGGACTTCAGAATATAACAACGTTTTTGCAAAGGGGTCGGTTTGACAAAGTTGAAAGAAGGCTGTTAGTGTAGTTCTTGGCGGTGATGCAATTCTTTCTTTAAAATTTCTTTCGGTGAAATATACACGCTCCCCATTTTCTAAGTGCACAGCAAGGTGAGTAACTGTTAGGTGCCTTTCGTGTAAAGGGAAGCCAAGGAGACGCCACGCTGCCTCGTTACTGCTGACATAACGCTCTGCTTGAAAGGTCTGTACTTCATTAACGGGATTTGCCTCACCTTCACTCCTGAGATTAAATATTGCTTGGTCGCTTACTTTATTTATGTACTTACAGATATACTTGATTGCACGGACAGAGCTACATGCTTCTAAATTAATGTGGGCATTAAACATTTTACATGGAATGGGCGAATACGGGATAATCCAGCTGATATCTAAGGTTTCGAACACTCCAGAGCGAGATTTGATTGTAACTTTCCTGCCACCATTTTTGGGAGCTCTGCGTCTGTATAAAGGGTAGCCATTGTCATTGTGCACTGTTTCTTTTAATAGATGTTTAGGGAATTTCTTTGTACATTTTCCTTCTTTCGTACATGACGATATTGAATTTCGTGCTCCACATGGTCCGTGAATCATATTTCGGACGATGGTATCATACAATTCTTTATCTTGCTCAGGATCCGGAATCTCGGCGCTTATTATGTCGTCTATTTGGCTGGATCGCAACTTCTTTTTAAGCCATATTAGAATGTGGGCATGCGGTAATGCTCTTTTTTGCCATTCAATTAAATACATGAAGCACTGCACCTCTCCGAAAATTTTCCCTTTGTTAATTACATACATTAATTTTTGTACTTTTAATCTAAATACACTAGCAACTAAATCGTGTCTGTCAGTACTTTTTTGGCCCGGCATTAGCTCCTCGGTTATTTCTTTCCATGTGGGATTGCAAGTAAAAGTAACAAAAAGATCAGGTCTTACGTAAGTTCGTACATAGGCGAGTGCATCTTGTATGTACTCATGTAGGTAGCGGGGACTGTTAACGAATGATGAGGGCAGAATTACCATTTTACCTAAATCTCTGGGATTTACATTGGCGTCGCTAGAAACTGCATTTTGTAAATGTATATAAAATCTCAACGCGCAGCTTTTTTGATTTAAAGATATATAATGGAGACGTTTACTTTCTACCTTCACATACATGTCTATCAAAAATTGATGAAATAATTGTCTACACCAGGATAAGTGGTTAAAATAATTTTCTCGCAACATCATATGATACGCATAAAAATCCATACATGGTACTTTTTGTTCGGAGTAGGCTCCTTTGTGACCGGGTGAATAAGTGGAATTTGAAAATGATAATCCTCTTGTCCTTTGCAATAAATTAATGGGTATTGCAGAGCGTCATAAAACTCGTGTGTATCGGCTACCCTTTGCAACGTATCATCACGTGCTCGCAAGACAATGTCTCATGAAGAAAATTGATCACCACTAATTACGGCAGCTACTTCGTTTATCAAAGGTGCATTGTAGCTCCTTTCATGCTCTCCTCGAGGGGTCCGATCTGCGTGAATGACGACTTTATAATCCTCTTCAGGTAGGTTTTCTAAAGCAGTTTTAAATGTTTTGACTAAAATGTTACGTTCACGCAAGAATCTTTGAATTTTGAACACTGTGTCTCTCTCAACTCCCTGGATAAATTGGCAGCGACGGTCTACCTCAATTTATTCGTCACCTATAAAATATACTTGTAAAAATGTATGCTGTTCTTTTTCAGCTGGAAAAAGTGAACCTATTCTATGATAAATTTGCCCTTGCACTGTAAATGTAGGCGAAAATCCCGCCAACTCCGAAGGACGTCATTTGAAAGCATGAGTCATTAGCATCATATAAAAAGAGAGTTTTTAAAGGTTTTTCTGGTTCACCAAGTAACGGAAGAGACACTTTGCCATTGGAACAGCACATGCCTGCGGTACCATCTTTCCATTTTAAAGCGCTGCAAAATCGACACGCCTTGTCCATCAGTCCGATAAAAACTAACCTGTGATTTTTATAATCAATCAACGGATCATAATTGAATGCTGTGTCATTAAAAACCGACTAATTGTTTCTTTGAAAATTTTGTCGACGTTCATCTTGGAGCTGTGCATTTGCATCTTTTAGCGCCTGTGTCTGTTCTGGTGTTTCAGATACACTTATAGTGGATTGATGTTCAGTTTGCTCAATAAGTCTGTGTTGAGTTTCATCAGGTGTTTCCGCGACTCTTAAGGCGGCCTCACGTTCCGCTTGTTCGAATAGCCTTTGCTGACTTTTAGCATGTGTTTCAGTAGCTCTTAAAGTTGCTTGATGCTCTGCCTGTTCAAGACGCCTTCGCTGACTTTGAGAAGGTGTTTTAGAAGCTCTTAAAGTAGATTGAGGCTCTACCTGTTCAAGACGCCTTTGCTGACGTTGAGAAGGTGTCTCAAATGCTCTAAAAGCAGCCTGACGCTCTGCTTGTTCTTGCCTTCTCAGTTCAGCATCTTCTAAAAATTCTAGCGATCGAGCTAATCTTTTCGCTTGTCTTTGAGAATATACTATTGAAAGGCTGGACTTAAACATATGCGAAGCATTATGAAGTAACAAAAAACCTATTTATAAAAAAACGTTAAAATACCTAAAAGGAATTAAATTTCCTTTTAATTTTTTTAAAGCAAATACAAAATATCTAAAAGGAATAAATATTCCTTTTAAATTTTTTTTTAAAATCAAAACAACAAAACCAATTCAAGACACAACACGAATCCGAAAACGATAGCCAAAAAAATCGAATCAACTTAAACCAAATCACAAAACAAATCGCAGAAAACCGAAATCGAAAGCAGTAGTCAATATAAATATAACCAACGAAAAAAGAAGTAAGTGTATAGGTACCGTATACACTATCTATACAATTAATATTTCTTATATAAATAAATATATTGTTAAACAACCTCAAACAACGAAAACCAATTCACGATTCTAAATAAACAAAATCCAAAATCAAAGCCAAAATCTAAATATGTAAAAAGAATACCTACCAAATCAACAAAACCGATCCAAGAAAATACACAAATCCGAAAATGAAAGCCAATATAAATCCATTCAACCTTAACCAAATCACAAAGCAAATAACAAACAACCGAAATCGAAAGCAGGTAGTCGAATAAGCTACGAAATAGAAACAATTTAAGCATATAGGTGCCGTATGCACTATAAAATGACGCGCGGCTCAACGGCGGGAGTTAAGGACATGTCAGGAAACATTTCGTTACCGCGTTTTAAAAACCTAGTAACGACATCTAGCGGAATTAATTTAAACTATGTATACGTTACTAAATAAGAACTCTTAAAAATATTTTTCTTATAATTTTGCACAATTTTGCTTATTGTAATACTGATTCATTCATAACTACATATAAGAACTGTATTCATGTCCGTTCATAAAATATTACTAAGGCTTATTAATAAGGCTTACTAAGAACTGTTTCTTCCACAGTTAAGTAATAGTTAAGGGTGAAAGTGTGACAGGTGGTGATAGTATTTCTGATCCATACTTATAATCACGCCTGTAACCCTTGCGGGGTAGGCAGAGCATCAACGGATTACTTAATATCATCTACGAGGTTATCGCCTATTCTGTGAATTATAATGCACCAAAACGTTTGACGAAAATCAGCTGGTGAATTTTATGTCTTTTATCGCTCTCTTCCCGGTCCTGCGTGGAAAATACATACATCCATACATTTTTTATCTTAATTTTGGTAAAAATACGTAATAATCCAGATATTCTGACCTTCTGTGTTCGTCCATCGTACCATCGTCCGTCTTGTAGAATCACGGTGGCGCCACCTAGCTGCATTTAATTTTGCAACATATTCGATTTTCCCACGGAAATTATATGTTTTCCGCTGAAAAAAGTAGCATATGTCACTGTACAGCCACCGAACTATCCCCATACAAAAAATCATATCATGCTGACGCTCTGTTGCGACGTGAAAGAAGGACAAACTTGTACAACAAATTCGATTTTCCCACGGGAATGAGGCTGTAGAGTGACATAGGCTACTTTTTCCGCGGAAAAACATCTCATTCCCGTGAGAAAATTGAATATTTCCCACGGGAACGGGAATGAGATGTTTTTCCGCGGAAAGAAGTAGCCTATGTCACTCTACAACCACCGATCTATCCCCATACCAAAATTCATGCCATGCCGACGCTCTGTTGCGACGTGAAAGAAGGACAAACTTTTGCAACATATTCTATTTTTCCACGGGAATGAGATGATTTTCCGCGGAAAAAAGTAACCTATGTCACTCTACAGCCACCGAACTATCCCCATACAAAAAATTATGTCATGCCGACGCTCTATTGCGACGTGAAAGAAGGACAAACAAACAAACAAACAAACACACTTTTGCATTTATAATATTGAGTATGGATTAGTGATATAAAATATCTAAGCCTTTAGCAGCCCCTGTTGCGAAATTCAAATAGTAATAAACAATAAAATATTAATAATAGTACAATGTTTAAAAAAGAAAAAGGTCGCGATCTTACAATATCAGCGTCTCGTGGGCTATTAGCGTCAGCCGCGTAGAGTTAGCGAAGAAAATATCAGGCAATACCAATATTTTTATTTTTATTATGATGGATTTCCGAAAAAACGCCTTTCAATATCAATTCATAATGCCAATAAAAGCTAATACAATAAA